CTGGAGTGTGGGGTGCAGGGCCCTGGAGGGGAGTCAGCCTTGGGGCTCCGGGAAGAGGAAAGAAAACGGAGGCGGGAGGGACGGGGAGGGACTCCCGGGGCCCCTGCTGGGGGACGCACAGGGTGCTGACCGAGGTCAGAAATGAACTGGCTCCATCTCTGGGCCTTCATCCTGCTCCCAGTCAGCTTCCGGGTCAGCACGGCCCCTTCCCCCTCTGGCCAGGGGGGCTGAAAGGTGAGGGGGGAGGTTGTCCCCTTCAGGCCACCCCCCCACCCCGCAGGCCAGCGCAGCCCCCGGAAAGACCACGGGAGCCGCTGGAGCAAGTTGGAACTTTGACTTTCCAGGAGTCCCTTCTTAAAAAAATGAAGGAAAAGCAAATCCAAGTTACTTAACCCAATATGCTCCAAATATGCTTTCTATATATGATCAAGATAAAGAATTATTGAGACGTGTTCCTTTCTTTTTTTTTTTTAATACTATGTCTTCCAGATCCAGTGTGTGTTTTACACTGACCACCCTCAGTGTGGAACAGCTGTGGGTCCACTGCCCAGTAGCCACGTGGCCAGCAGCTGCTGTACTGGACTGCACGGCTCTGGATGTGAAGCCCCTGAGAGTCAGGACTGTGATGAGACCCACCATTATGATCTCCAGGGTCTGGTGCGTAGGGGATGCTCAGGAGGTTTGTTGATTGACTGATTGACTGACTGAATGAATAAATGTCCAAGACCTTAAAGGACCTAAAGGGAGGCTCCCAGCTCTGGCCATGGGAAGGGCGTGGAGATATAAGTCTAGTCTCCAATTCTCTGAGTCCCTCCCCTCCCCAGACCACAGTTCCTCCATCTGGGTTGGATGTGGTGACTTCTCTGAGCTGTCTCTAGGGGAATGTCCCCTCCGTGTGGCTCCCTGTCCTGCTCCACCTCACGACCCTGTCCTCCCTCTCCCTGTGTATGAGACGGGGTCTCTGGAAAGGCCCCGGTGACCTTCTGTACAGAGGGGACCAGACCCCACAGGGGGCAGCTGAGGAAGAGCAGCTGCCACACACGGCCTGGGCACAGGGAGCGAGGACCTGTGGGTGCTGACACCTCCGTCACCCCACACCTCACAGGGGTCCAGAGCCGGGAGGAGAGCGGGGCCGGCTGGTCGCTCTGATCCTGCAGGGTGAACAGGAGGGCCAGGGGGCCGGCGAGCAGGCCCCGGGGCAGGAAAGGACTGACCCACTGCCTGGGAGCCCTGTCTTCCTCCTGCGAAGGAGGGGTACAAAACCTGGCCTCTTCCTGTCCAGGTCCCGCTACCTGACAGCCCAGTGGCCTTGGGAAGACGCTTTACTTAGTCTCAGGGGCCTTATTTGTTGAAGGGATCGTAATCTCAGCAACCACACGGGCCTCTGAGCCCTTGAAACTGTCCCCACACAGGAGCCCACGGGGTGCCACGTGACTGACAGGTGCTGTCCTGGCCTTCATGGCAGAGTGCTCCGCAGCGCACCTGAGGTGAGGGGACGGGCTGCTGGCTCTGAAGTCCTCTCTGGAGCCGGGCACCTGGAGGCCGTGAACTCAGAGTCGCGTTGGTTGGCGGCGGCAGGACGACTGTGTGGATCCGCCTTTTCTGATCTGAAGAGCTCTTCAGAATCCCAGGTGGCTTCGGAGACCATGAAGCTCTCTGTGAGGACTTTGGAGACTGTTGAGAGCCGTGCACGTCGGGATCAAGTGGCCTTTCAAAGACGTGGGCGAGAAGCGGGGTGGGCGAGGGGAGAGGGGGACACAGCCCCTCCCTGTGCCCTGTCCCCTCCCAGGCCAGCCTTGCCCAGAGATTCTGCAGATTCCTGCGATTCTGCTCCGGGCCAGAGCGGCCTCTGCGCTGACTCAGCGCAGCCCCGGATGGCGATGGCCGGAGCTGCCCGGCTTCCTCGCACTCACGCCTGGTTTTCTTTCTGCCACAAAAGCCATGAACTTGACATCCTTTGAAGATTTCCTTACTGGGCTGAGGGGGCGGGGAGCTCCAGGCCTCTGGTGACCTTGGGGCTGCTCTGGGGACCTCCCCACCAAGGACGGATCGCAGGGTGCCAGGGCTGAGGGCAGGTGGGGGCCACTGCCTCGGAGCCACTATGGGGCCAGCGCAGGGAAGGCCCGGCTTCCAACGCCACCTTCTCATCCGTGACCGTGGGCCAGTTCTTTTCCCTCTCTAAGCCTGAGTCGCTTGACTGTCACATGGGGTCAGTGATGCTCATCTTGTGTTTGCGTCATTCAGTGGCTTGGTATGCAGGCAAGTTCTGTCCCTGTGTCCTCCCACAGGCCTGAGGGCCTTCTAATAAGGGAGAGGTGAAGGGCAAGGCAGCTCCCGCAGGGTAGGGATTATGAGCACGGGTTTCCGAATTAGGAAGATCTGAGTTTGAATCTTGCCTCTGCCACATACCAGCTGTGTGTTTTTAGGCAAGTCACATTCCCTCTCTGAGCCTCAATATCCTCTGCTATAAAACTGGCACAATAATATAGTCTCTACCTCATCTAATGTTGGCAGGAGGACTGGGGATGTGGCTCAGTGGTAGAGTGCTTGCCTGGCATGTGCAAGGCCCTGGGCCCAGTTCCCAGCACCACAAACAGAACAAAACCAGAAATGTCTGCAAGGGTCCAGAGACATGGTCCTATGGCAGGTGGGACAGGAAGCCTGGGAGCTGCTCAAGGAGTGGCGCCCACTCCCCTCCCCAAACTGCAGCCCTGGGTGCCCCGGTGCCTGGTCACATTTGCAGGTGTTAGATAAAAGCGTCTGGGCCAGTCCGCACCCTGCACCCGGGGCCTCTTCCACCCCCCTTGAACTTCTCTGGTACAGTCCCCCTCCTTGTCCCTGCCCGGCCCATGTCTCTGTGTGCTGATGACCCCGCTCCTGTTGGGACTCAGCTCCTTTGAGCCCCTCCCTATAACCATGCACAAGCACCCTTTTCACAGGGAGGAGAATCTACACTGTAGGCACACAAGTGAGTTGAACAAGCCCCGTCAGGATTGTCACTGCTGTGCAGTCTGCCTGCCCTCTGAGCGCATCCCTGGCTTGCTCCATCCTACCATCACTAGTCCATAGATTCCCTGGGGGCCAGGGCTATGGCCTTCATTCACTGTGTCCCAGCACCCAGCACAGTACCTGGCCCACAGTGGGTAGCTCGGAACTACCAAACACAGGGTGAGTAAATGAATAAATGAGAGGGAAAGAGATCACTGAGGCAGGAGTGGACTGCATGGCTGTCCAGCACCCTCAGCTGTCAAAGGTCAGTTGTGGGCCATGGGAACTATATGAGTCAGCTTCTTGTTACTGTAATGGAATGCCTGAGGCAGTCTAACTTTACAAAGAATAAAGGTCTATTTGGCTTCCAGTTCTGGACAGTCATGGGCATCATGATGGCATCAGCTCAGCTCTGGTGTGGACTCTCTTAGCTTGTGTCACATTGTAGCAGATGGCAGTGGTGGCAGCAAGGGATCACATCTCAACCAGGAAAGCAGAGCAAGTGAAGTGGGGCCAGATGCAGGCCAGGTAACAGCCCTTGGGCAAGAAGGACTTTATGCCCTCCAAGGGTAGGGTCTCCAGTGACCTCCCACCAGGCCCCACCTCTTTAAGTTACCACCTCCACATCACCACCCAGCACCCAGCTCCCAGCACCCAGCTCCCAGCACACGGACACGCCAGCCATGGCAGAGATGGACCAGCTCCCTCCTACGTACAGTCAGGATGTGACATGACACTCAAGTGTCACCTCTGGGACCCCAGAAATAACTCCCTGCCTAATATATTCGTGGTCTCTTTCAGGGACAAGTGAATGTTAGCACTTGGGGATCTTCCTTGCCTTTGGGTCTGATTCTTTGTCACCAAAGATTGTCACCAAGAGTGACAAAGTCCCAGGGCGGTGGCTCCTAGAACCGCTGCATGTCAGAAACCTTGGAAAGCCCGAACACCAGAGCCTCTTGGGCCTGAGGCTGTATTATGTTTGTTAAATTCTAGGAGATTCCAGCGTACAACTGGGCTTTTCTTTGAATGCTTGTGGGGCAGGCTGTCCTGGGTGGGTGCAGGCCTGGCCGGAGGGTGGGGAGGAGCATGTGTGGGCTTGGGAGCCATTGCAGACCTGGGTTTGAACCCCAGTTTCCCAGCCCTGGATTTTGGGAAAGTCACTTAATGGGCAGTCGAATTCCTCCCCCAGGGGCTGGCTGGGGGGAGTCAGTGAGAGAATGTGGTAGAATTACCGGGTCCAGGGCCTGGCCGAGGTGTGGTCTTCCTGAATGAGCTTGGGGTAGGGACAGGTGTGGCCCCACCGCTGCCCTGAGCTCCTGATGGGAAGAGCACTGGGCGGGGAGAAAGGAGGCAGGTAGCCTTGGCCAAGTCACTCCCTCCACGAAGCCTCCTTGACCTCCCTTGGGCTCAATCCTGGGAGGTAGTTAATGGTGCGCTCTGGGAGCAGAGAGACCTGGCTCAGCCAATTATGTAAGGCAAGGCACCCAACCTCTCCGAGCCTCAGTTTCCTCCTCTGTAAGACAAACATCCATCGGTGCACATGACTCCTCCCAATTCTGCATTCAGAACTTAAAATAGCTTAAAATCAGCCACAGTGGGAGAATTTACACCGAGGTCATCAGCGAGCCTTGGAAATCAGCATGCACTGGTGACAGTCCGTTCCCCAGGGTACTCCAGGACTCAGATAATGGTAACTTCCACCCTGGGTGCTGGGAGAGTCAGTCATTCTCCACTTTTCCGAGCATGTCGCACAACCACTAGGGCCCAGTGGATCAGCGCACGCTGGTCAAACTCCGCTAACATTCGTCACCATCGCTTCGTCCCTGGCCTGCTGTGAGATGCTCACGTCTGTCATCTCGTACAACTTCACAGCTCTAGGAGGTCCCCAGAGAAGGACATTCGGGCTTAGACAGGCTTGCTAACTTCCAATGCCATTAGCTATTGCTGGCCTACTGTGTGCTGAATTATCATTTTACATCCCTCTCATTTCGGCCTCACGATACTCTCTCTCATGGCAGATGAAGAATCAAAGGCCCAGGGCGGGCAAGTGACCTGCTCAAGGTCACCCATTTCCTCTGAGCCTTGGTATGGGTCTTGAACGTGTGTCTGCCAGGCACCCTCCCACCCCACCCCGCGGCATCTCCCTCTGGAGGAGGGCAGGCTTTGCTGACATGCTCTCTCTGGTCCTCTCTGGCCCTTTCAGCTCCGACAGCCTCGGTATTTAAATCAGCACATGAATATTTCACAAGCATCCTTAGCGAAAATAACCCCCCGCCTGGTTATGTCAGGCTGCAGCCCTGGTCGCTGGGCCGCCGCTCTCTTGCTATTTACGAGACTTGCTATTCCGCGAGGCCTCCAGCAGCAGCCCACGGAATCGATAGTCTTTAAATAAGTAATCAGAGGAACTGAAGACGAAGGGCCAGGGAGGGGGGTGGGGGCGGAGATCGACACAGACTCCGCCAGGTTTGCAGGTTTGCAGGGCCCTGCAGCCTGGGGTAGGGCGAGAGACAGGGAAGGGCAGGGAAGAGGGGGAGAAGAGGAAGGAGACCCTAGTTGGCCCTTGCCCTGTGTCCCGCTTTGTCTCACTACTGCCATATCCAACATCCTAAAGTCATTGAAGCTCAGAGAGGGGAGGTCAGTGGCCTAGCACCACACAGCCAGCAAGTAGCCGAGGTGGCAGGTCTGTCGTCTGACTTCATGGCAGGGTGGCGCTGTGGAGGTTGGGAGTGGCCCCATCACTGCAGGGTGGTTCATCAGCTGCCCTGGCCTCAGGCCAGGTGCCAGCTGCACATCCTCCCCACTGAGACAACAAAAAATATATCTTCAGACGTCATTTCCCAATGTCCTCTGGGAGCTAAAGTCACCCTGGTTGAGGACCACAGCGGTGTTGCCGCTCCCTCCTCTGCGTCTGGGATAAGAACTAAAGTCCTTCTCTTCATCTAGCGAGGCAGCTCGGGAGCCAAAGCTAACTTGGACGCTAACTTGGCTCCTCACTGGCTGTGCCATCGTGAGCTGAGTTCTCAACCTTTCTGTGCCTTAACATCCTTCTCTGTAAAATGGAGTCCTCCCAAAGGGTCAAGCATCAGGTTTAACCCAGTCAGTGGGCACAAAGCATCTGGAACAGCACCTGGCCGCCCTGTTGGGGTCCCAGGGGCCGCATGACCAAGCCCCAGAGGCTTTCTGCGGCTTCCCTGAGGCACAGCCCCTCCTACCGGCCCCAGAGCAGGTGGGAAAGCAGCCCGGGAGGCCTTTGGTCCCAGAGGATCCCGGGGTAATAGGCAGCAGAGCTGCGCTTCCTCGCTCCTGGCCATCCTGTGCCAGGGAAGGAGCAGGCGCTGCCCGGGGTCACCATCGCGGCCCATCCAGAGGTCTACCTCGTGCACAGCACCGCCTGCAGGCCCCTCGCAGGGTGGAGCGAGCTGACCGGGCTCACTGGACAGCGAGTCCAGCCCCGCCTGCCTGCGGACCCCAGTGTCACCCAGGGCTGTGCGAAGGCCCCATATTGTGGCTCCTTCCTCTCCTGCAGTGCATGTTCCTGGTCGGTGGCCGAGCCTCCCTGGGGGGTGACTCGGGAACCCAGGCTCCCTCCCGCCATGGCGCACCCTCCCCAGAGCCTCCAAGTGGACTGTTCATGCAGGACAGGGACAGGCGGAGGGACAGGGACGGGAGGTTTTTATGGGCCAGGCCTGGAAGTGGCCCAGGTCACTTCTGTCCATGTTCCAGGGGCCAAACCTAAGTCACATGCCACACCTACCCTTGGGGAGGCTGGGAAAGGTAGCCTGACTGAGTCCAGGAGGAAGAGACAGACAGGTGGCCAGCGGCCAGGTCTTGGTGCCTGGGCTGAAGGCTACAGGGGCAGAAAGGCCCAAGACAGGGGACCTGGCTTCATAGAGTCTGGGTCTAATGGCAGGTGAGGGGTGAGGGGGCCACAGAATAGACGGGAACTATGGCCCGGCTGGCCCTTCTAGCCATGGATCACCAGAGCCATTTACATCCCCTAGGCCCCCCACCGTCCTTGCTAGCTCAGTCCCGCCGAGTCAGCAACTGGAAGTTCTGCTCTGCCTCAGGCCTGCGGTCTTCCCTTTTGGGGAGAAAGGAGGGGGCTGCTCTCCTTAGGGGTGCACGTCCCTGGACGCCACCGCAAGCCTGTGCTCGCATCAGAGCAGCACTAGCCTGGCCACCTGCCGACCCTCCAGAACCGGCTACCGCAGGCCCTCCCCGCTGCGGTCAGCCAGCACCCACCTGGGGGCGTCCCCCTCTTAGGACAGCTGAGTGGGAGGTGCTCTGCAGTCCCAGAGGCTAGACCATGGACATGTGGCCTGCAGCGTGGCCAAGTGGACACACCCTCCCAGGACTCGAAGCTCTAGAGTGACGCCAGGACACAGGTCAGTCAGACACTCAGAAACTGGCGCCCAGCAGTGGGCATGTGGCGCGTCATCTTTGTGTCTGGAGGCGCCAGCAGGGGCACAGTGACCAGCTGGCAGGAAGCAGCCTCCTGCCTGGCACCTTGGCAGGCTCACCTCTCTGGGTTCCCGTCAGGCCTGTCCCTCCAGTTTCCCTGTCAATTGTAGAAGCCACCTGATCCCTTTCCAAACAACTCCTTAGGTGACCTCGAGCAGTCTTTGCTTCCGGCCAAGCACCCTGGCTGACTCAGTCTCAGCACTGCCCCTGGGTTACCAGAGCTCCCTCCTGCCCGCCTCCCCCAGGCCCAGCTTCAGCACCTTCCACCGGAGGCCGAGGCACCCAGCTCTTTCCTCCAGAGATCCCGAGCAGGTCTCTGGCTATCCAGTCTCCCCCCACCGCCAACACGCGCAGGCCTCGGGAGGGCTGTGCAGACCCGCCGTCACCGGTTCACTCCGTCATCCCACATATTCTATTTTATGCATCTAAAACCACGTTTCTGCTGGGCCTGTGGCACACGCCTGGCGTCCCAACGACTCGGGAGGCTGAGGCAGGAGGATCACAAATTCCAGGCCAGCCTAGGCAACTTGGTGAGACCCCGCCTCAAAATAAAAAGGGCTGGGGATGTGGTCTCGTGGTAGAGTGGCCCTCGGTTCAAGCCCCGGTACCAGCAAAAATAAAAATAATCTAAAAAATGAAAGACACACAATTCTGAGGAAGGGTTTAAAGGCTTCACCTGATGCCACGGGGTCCAGGACACTGAGGAGGCGGGCGTCACTCTGGACTGTGGCTTCCACATCGCAGAAGCACCTCGAGTTCTTCCGTGGCCTGGACCCCTCTTGCCTCGGGTTTGAGGGAAGCCCATTCTCCCTCTCCGTTCCTTCTGGAAAGACCCCCCTTCTTGGGACAAGCTCCTCTCCCACGCTCTCTAGGTGGGTGGTCTGGGCACTTGCCGTGTTGTCCCAGCCC